CCCCAAAACCCCAAAACCCCAAAACCCCATAAGAGTAGTATATTAAAGAGTTGACACAGTCAGATTAATATTTTATAATATTGAACATTGCTATTATTATTTATAATTACTGGACATGGGGAGTTCAGGACAACAATAACGCCAATTATTAAAGATCATCCAAGTTTTATTAATTCTTTGTCTCAATTGATCTGAACGTAAATACCAACTACTTTTAAAGAGTTAAACCCCTTTTTCATCGAGTGTCTCTGACTAAAGAGAATGGCAACGGGCCAGTCCTGCATATTAAGAATGCATGCAGGATCTTAAGATTTTAATTTTTTGAGAGCTAAGGGAAGAGGGGGCCGAACCTGGAGTACTAATTTACAATTGGAGGTGACCACCTCCACCTTCTTTCTAATCCATCACGAAGTATTAAGTTTAATATAAAAGCTGGAGGTATTCTCTTTGGAAATGATGACACTCAGACTCAGTAAGATTAATAAAAATCTTACTTAAGATATCTTGGTGAAACTTACTTTGAAAACTCACAAGCGATGATTTATTAGCAGGATTTCATTTAGAAAATAATAACTTTAACCTCTATATGAATGAAACAAAGTTAACTCTAAAAATATAATGAAAAATATTTAGCTTGACTAATAAAGAATAACTTATTAAAGAGTTACCAAATGACCTATTACATTGCTCTTATTATAGCAGGAAATAATTTTTGGGGAAATTTTAGAATAATCTTATAGCTCAAGAAATAATTGTTTAATGCTGGCAATAAAAGATAAACAAAGTAATTATGAAATTTCGAGGTGGTGCTAAGTATGCCAAATTTTTGAATACCTACTTGCTACCTCAACCAGCTTAATGAAATATCAGCAGCGAAATTAGGGGCAGATTACTTATCATCTCTAAAAATTCTATCTGATTAGACTGCTAAGGAAACTGAGGCAAGAGGGATTAATTAGTTCATGTAAATGAGTTAATTATAATCAAAGAAATAGCCACCCTTACTATTCTAATGCATACATTTCTATTGCAGATGTGAAAAGGAAAAACTTTAAGCGAAAACCTATTAAGCGTTATATAATGCAAACTAAATAGATAAATGTGATTTAAGTTAAGCCGCAAAAATAGTTCGCTGAAGACAAAGAAGAGTACCTCGATTGGTTGATACAATGATGCGTAGAAGGAAGAGTATTAGACATTTTACTGAATACTATGATAAAGTTTACTTGCTAATCAAGGAAGAAAAAAAGTTTAGACCAAAAACACAATTATCCTAATTCGTACTGAACTATAAAGGAAAAGTAGATGCAGGGTTTTAGAATCTATATAAATTACAAGAAGAATTTAAGGAAAATTTAATGACAGTATAGATTTAAGAGATTGCAAGTGGAAAGTAATCTGCTAGGAAAACTTAGTCAAAATTACTAGTGCAATTTACTCATAATTCTGTAAAATCTACTATTTATATCTATTAATCTATCTAGTATAATCGAATTCTGAATTGAGGGGTTTTGGGGTTTTGGGGTTTTGGGG